TTTTTCGTGGTTTTACCTTCCTCCACAACTTTCAGTTTTCTTTGCCAGAGGCTAGGATTTTCCCGCATAGACAGAAAAAAATGTTTAAAGGAGTTAGGATGTGAGCTTCTCTGACCTTCTTTTTCTCCTTATGTTTTCTGTAGCTTAATGGGGATTTTTACACAAAAGTAGATGTAAAATAATCATACTTTTTTAAAGTCTGCTAAAGTCGCTAGCCGTTGAATGTCTTTTTTTTTTTAAGATAGCATTCCCATCTGTTTATATCCACGCTTAATAATTGATTCTTGTGTATGCTGTAGGTGAAAATATCACTGTGCAAGTTTCACAACCCATGAATTCTTACGCATAGACTTACAAAGTACACCCGCTATGTCAGAGACAGCCAAACTTCTGTGGACAATTGACAGACAATGGTAAGTCTCTAGTATTATTGCCAAGCAATGTTTTTTTACATACTAGATAGCTAAAGTCAGTTTCTTATTCTTGAAAAACCCACCGGTATAGCATCAATTGGCAACTTCATACTGTTTTAGGTCCTTGCTCTAAAGTGGAAATAAACGTTAGGAACTAATGCCAGAATTCAGTTTGCATGGTAAAAATAGCCCCTTGTTTGTTTGGCCTGATCGTGTTTCCTCTTGCTTGGTGAGACATTCTGGAGTGAAGCAGCCTTGCATAGATAAATAGAGAACACTTCCCTTATTTTTTTTAATATTATGCCATTATAGTTGCAAAAAATTTTGAGGGAAAGGCTCAAATGTGACGTGCTATAGGAAGTTATTAACATTTTTTTTCTTATTTCTAGCCCCAAACTAGTGATTACCATTTGAAAAAAAGAGACTGCTCTATAGTCACCCCCATAAAATCTTTCATTCTGTATATATAACCAGTTTAAATGTGTACATACTACTGATGGTGAATGGGTTGGTAAAAAGTTGAAAAAAAAATACAACGGAGTAATATGAACCTTTAGTGATTTGCCTGGCATAGATAACATAAATCTTTCCACTGTCACTCTTATTTTAAAGAATTCTAAAACTAGAGAGTGATATCAACTGTGGCAAATTTTATGAAAACAACGAAGACTTTGTTTTCCTTATATGAACACATTGTTTTAAGAACAACATTTGATGCTAGGAACAAGGAGAACGCTATACCCAGACAGGAGAAGATAAATTTGTAATTAGTATTTTGAGTCGTAAAAAAGAAAGAAAAGTGAGTTGGGAATCTGCTGACATCATACCTAGCTCACAAATAGTCAAAGGCACAAGCTCAGCACCTTCATTTTGATTTTGCCAAACCACACAGAGCGAGTTCCTCCGCAGCCCGATCTAAACTGATGCTCTTTAAGGGCCATGGCCTCCCCAGGCTGCTTCCTGAAAAGCATATGCTCAGGTACCAGCCCCGCCAGCACCGGTTCCCACGGGTTCCAGGACGCTGGCGACAGTCTGACCTGAAAAGGGAGCATCGGGAAGGCGTCTAGGCTGGGTAAGGTATTTAGGGAATTTCCTTCTGTTGCCAGACTTCAAAAGTTCTGAGAAAACTTCCCCATCAACAAATAAAAACAGCTAAATGCCAGGTCCATCAGCAAAGAAGGTTAGTGTTATTTTCATTGTCAGCTGAAGCAAAAAAAAAAAAGGAAAAAGAAAAAAAAATGATAAGCATATGGGCAATTGAAAGGTTACATCTTTCTTTTGGAGGTGGCTTGCTTCTTAAAGGTTAACTTGAATGCTTGACTTTAAAAAATCAAAATCATCAGCTGCAAATGCTTAAAGCAGTTGGGGGTAGCTTTTGAAGAAGAAAACAAAGGACCTGAAATGTTTGAAAATTACTTAGCCCCCACATAAATGGTGCTTGCATATTTACATGCTTACTCTATAAATGTACACACACACATACCACAACTCATTTCTCTTCATTTCTCAAATATGATTGCTTGTACTCAGGCATTTTTTGTTTTGACACAATATAACTTTTTAATAACTTGTTAGCTGTTCTTATCATTTGACAGTAACAGAATACAATGCAGTCAAAATATGAACCAGGACGACTTTCTGCCTAAATCAAAATCCACAGCTACACACAGAAACCAGCCATTTGCAGCATCTTCAGCTCCTGCTAAATAGGGTCTAACAATGTATTTCGCTGTTCACATTCATGTATTTCAAAACCTAATAGCCCATGAAGAAAAGTATGAAGAATACATCTCAAGAAGCAGACATTAAAGGTACCAGCAAAATAATAGACTACATTTAAGTATGAAGCATTATTTTAGGCAACCTACATCATTAATGACTTTTTCTTTGTGATAAGTGTTAGAAAAGAGAATGCATAAGAGGAATTGACATAAATATTGGCTGCTACTAGAAAAATTCCTTTCTGGTGGGAGTGATTATTCACACACACAGTACTCCTCAAATGGTTTTATGGTTTTCTTAAAAAAATTATTTGACCTTCAATGTCTTAAAAAAAAAATTTTTACACTATGAAGTAGTTGTGAAGTAAATATTTATCCCTAAAATTTATCTTAAAAATATCCTATTTAACTCATATATCACAGTATGATATTTCATTATTATACTATATTATTAAAGTTTAAAAGTGTATCAGGTATATAACAAATAATGAAACATTTATATTTTAAAAATTGAGGTAAATTGTTTTCAGGAATAGTCAAAGAAAAAATTCAATCACTGACTATCTTCTTAAATGTCAACAACCTAACAAAGTTACAAAAGTACTGTTATTACTATGAATATTATAATTATATAAGGCTCCCAGAAATTCTGATCTCTAAAGAAAAGGATTATTTATTGAGGCGCTTACTTTTTCTTCTTAGAAAGTTGAGCTATTTTTATTCTTCTTTCTAGGTTTATTAGTTATTGGGCCTAATGTCTGGAGTCACTTCAATACTATGTTGTCAGTCAGTTTTAAACCTCCAAAGCCATTGGGGCCCAGCTTGTACTCTCACAAAACTTCAGAACCAGCAGCAATTCCTGCTTAGGTGTTCCAGCTTCCTTAAATCTCACCAAACCTTGCAAGGTGGCGCTCTTTTCATGGAAGGTTGACATCTACTCTCACAGATCACAGTAACATTTGTTTTTTAAGTTAAACACCACCAGCTCTAGTGTTTTGATGTGCTGCAGAAAGTGTAGCAAATCCCCTCCTTACCCAATAAAATTCTGTTGACTAAAAGTGACAAAGAGCAAGCAACGAAAGGAAAAGCCCCCCAAAATTTAAGAGAATTTAACATTTTGACTTTGTAATGGGTTGAAGGTATTCTTTGGAACAGATGTATTTTAAGGGGTTCTTATACTCTTGAGGGTTTTTCCCTCTTGCTTTCATTCTCAGAGTCAGTATGGCCTGTGACTTCTGAATACACACAGTATATTAAACATCCCAGTCTGGGTTCCTCCTGGCCTCCAGTGAGGTCAGTTTCTACTTCCAGCTCTGACCCATCCACACCCTTGCAGCTACAGCCAAGACCCTGATTTGTGATCTCCAGCTACGCTGTCTGCTTAATGGGGCGATCATGCAAGCTACAACCAGAGACAAAGAAGCTTGCGTTCCTACCAGTGCAGCTAACTTCGAGGCAGCAGCATAGCTTGCAAATCTATCAAACTAAACTGCAAGAAAGACAATCTGATTTAGAGAAAAGGCGTTCTGCTACAGTCATTAAGCACAAGTAATTTAGATTTTTTATATTGTCTCCTCATTTACAAATTTACTGTATCAACGCCAGCCAATGGAACGAATTTCTTAAGTAAATGAGAAATAAATAAAAGAGAAAGATAATCAAATTACATAAAATAATTCTCTTCCCTAGATGTATTTTTGAGAGAACTAATAACAGTGGCAAAATTATAGGAATAATAACATATCATAGGAGGTAATTAATTTAAATTAGCATCACGTTTGAAGAAATATAAGTAAAACGCTTTATGGACGTTTACTTTTGTACAAAGAAGGCAGGCCTGGAAAAGCATGCGTCGATATCCTGAAAATTAGTTATGGCCATAAATGGTTTAATTGAAGACGGCAATTTAAAATATGATATTGTAAATCTGCAACTTGGTTTCAGCTGGGGGAATTTAATTTGGGGGACAGCGGAACCCTAGCCTGCAAGTTCATTTGCAAAGCTGCAGATCCAGCCCCTGAGCTTCTGACAATTCGCCTACATTAATATTGATGTCGCCTGTGCAATCTATTTCTGTTATTTTTATGGTTGTTATTCTACGTCTGCAAAGGTCATTTAAATTATACTGCGGCCGAAAATTTGTTTCATAAATTTTGATATAAATACTAATTACACCCTCTCGGAGAGCCAGCAGGGTAGCTTTCATTTATCATGTTTATACGACCTGCGATGACAGAATGGGAAGACTAGTGAGCTTTTCCGGAGACCCACTAAGGCTGGTAGAAGAGGCAGCAGGTTGCTGGGGGTGAAGAAGAAATTCCTACCACAATCACTGAGATTTCAGAATCTTTAATAAGGTACGAAAGGTTACCAAACAGTTCTGGAAACTAAAGTGTACATACGAGTTCTTCTAGCCATAAATATTGAATAGCTGTAACATGAATAAACCGGCCCTTTACATGCGGATAAATATGGAAACTAGGAATTATATACATTATGTGGTTGTATCTTCTGCCAAAAGCAACTGGACAGTTATAGTTTATATCTTTTTTAATATCACTTTACATAAACAAATGGAACAGTTTGACACGCAGATCCAGGCTGTACTATACGAATTCTTGACAGGACGTGAAACAACATTTTACTGCACTAAGGTACTTAGACTTTGGGACGAAATGTTTGCACTTTATACAAAAAAAGCACATTAATACCAATAATATTCTGTTAGGTCGACGTGGAGACTGTAATCGTACAAAGTAATTCACATTTTGGTACACATTTACTAGAACATTCTGGCCATTCAGTACAAACAGTTGGCTTTCGGCCTCCCAACCTCGCCCACCCTCCCACCCGTTGGCTAGCAAGCCTTTGCCCAAATAAAGGAAGAAAAGAAAAGGTCTGGTGCTTTCTCTGACTCGGTCCTGGCTGTATCGGCAGGTTTATTAAAAACAGGACGGGGGTGGGGGTGCTGTTTTCATGTTCAGGGTTCTTTCCCTTAGTGTTGGATGCGCGTGTGTGCTCGGCCTCTCAAATCGGGTTTTGTTGGTGTTTTGTTTCTGATTTTAAACGTACCATTCGTTAAAATTGGAAGACAGCGCGCTGTGGCCGGCTGTGTGGTGGACCGCGGAGGAGGAGGGCGACAGGGAGCTGGTGCTCGGGTTGTCTGTGGAGGGAGACACGATGGTGGGCGGCGTGGAGGACTCGTAGCCCGAGCTGGCGGCAGGCGAAGGTTGCGAGCCCTGCGAGGAGGATTCATGGACCTGCGGGAATAAAGTCGCGTTTTTACGGAGATAAAGAGCCGCCGCGGCGGCCGCTTAGGGAGCTTGAAGGCCGAGCGCTGCCTGCCGCCCCCAGCTCCCCCCACCCCCCACCCCGGAGCCCTGGACCCCCTTGAACTCCAGGGAGGCCCGACCCGTGGGACTTGGGCTCGGTTGCCCCGCCTGCAGAGACCCGGCTCCGGGAAAGGCCAGTGCACCCCCCTCCCCGCCCCGACTCACAAAAGAAAAGAGATCTGGGAAGCCGGAGGCTGGATGTGAGGCCAGAGCCCGAGATGGTGCCCACACACACACGCCCACCCCAGCAACCGCTGAAATTTGCCGGCTTAGGCGTAGGTGAGCCAGCGCTCAGGCCCGCGTGCAAGACCCCAACTCCGTGCAGGCGCTGCCAACCAAGCCGCCGAGGCCGCAGCTTCGGCAGCACCATCCCGCCGGGAGTGTCCTGGCTCCCCCTCCGTCGCAGCCTCTGCTCGCTTCTTTTGACTTTCATTATTGAACAGTACATTTAGAAGGGCCGTGGGTACCCGCAACCCCTTCTCCAGCCCCCGCCCTTTCTGCGCAGTCTGCAGAGAGGAATCGTGGCCTCTCCGCTTCTGCAGGCTCCTGCCACCGCCCAGCGGCCACCCGCCGCCCGGCCCCGGCCGCAGAGCCGCGAGGGCTCCCGGCTACACGGCGGGCGGCGAGAGCGCGGCGACTACCTTCATGTGCTTGCGCAGCGAGCTGGGGTGCGTGTAGGACTTGTCGCACATCTTGCAGAGATACGGCTTGTCGCTCGTGTGCACGTGCATGTGCTTCTTGCGGTCGCTGCTGTTGGCAAAGCGGCGGTCGCAGCCCTCGAACTCGCACTTGAAGGGCTTCTCCCCTGGTGCGAAAGGCGAGAAACAGAGGTCTGATTAGAACAAACCCCGCGGCTCTTTAAAAAGAAAAACAAATAGTAAAAGTAAAGACAAAAAGGAAAAAAACCAGCAGCTCAGGGTTAGCACTTTTCAAGCGCAAAAACCCGGGTCGTTAGTGAAATCATGTACCTGCGTTGGAATTATAAACATCTGGACTATTTTAACTCGATCCAATGAGATCCAGATTTTACTATTATTATTATTATTATTATTATTATTGGTGGTGGTTTTTAGATCCCAGAGTAGCAGCAGGTCTGGCTGCAGGTCTTTAGGCCCGGGGCTATACAGACGACTCCTGGAAGCTTCTACCTAGCTCTCGATGTCTAATTTTCACATTCCGGGCCGATTCTCCTGCTGTTTGGCTCTTCTCTCCTCCCCCTACCCCCTCCTCAACGCTGCGCACCCTCCTCTTCGCCGTCGCCGCCCCCACCCCACCCCACCTCCTAAGCACACATTTTACAGGATAATCTGGGCCGAGAGCTCAGCACTGCAAGTTCTCTGACTCAAGCGTTAAACGCCAAGTTCCACACGCGATTCTCAGAAATCACCCAGGCCCACCAGAATTGTGAAGCAGCCCGGACTCCCGGCTTTGTTGGCCCAAGAAGCCCAGAACGGCCTGCCCGACCCAGATTGCAGCCCTAAGCTCGCCGCGAACTTTTAACTGCTCCCGACTGGTCTCCTTATTTTTAAAGGCCAACTCAAGGTATTCGGTGTTTTGAAAACGTCCTCATAGAATCTAATTGACAAAAAGGACTTCTCCGCCTTCTGCCGAGTCTCCCGACTCCTCGAATCTACTTACAGACACGTCATTATTAAAATCGGGGCTCTTTAAATATGCATAAACCTTCAAAAGCCTCCACAGGCCCGATTGACTTGCTTTCACCACGGCCACCCCCTCTTTTCTTTCTCTGTTTTTGTTTCTATGCCCCTTCATCCGATCTCCTCCAGTTTCCTCAATTCCTCCCTTTAGCAAAGTCCTCACTAAGGTGCGTAGAGAGGGGATGTTGGCTGGAAGCAAACGTTTAGATTTGCCTGCAGCTAAAGCGGTTGGCGCCTCCGCCTCCACCGCCGCCGGGCGCCAGCCACCTCTCCCGGCTTCTCGCGCACCAAGGGCTCCCCAAAGCCGGTTTGTCTCTTAGCTCTCCCGGCCTTTTTTAACTTATTTAAAAATTTATATACCCAGATCCTTCTCCTCCAACCTTCTCTATACGTTATTAGACTTTCAAGCCTCAAACTAAAACCCAGAGCACACTTTCGCTGTCTGCTGAAATCTGACTTCCAGACCCAACCGAGGCCGGGTTTGTGCGCCCCCGCCGCTGACTTTTGAATTGCGGGTCCCAGGCCCGGGATAGGGAACCGAGGGCTGTCTAGGACAGCCGTTTCCGTACCTGTGTGCGTCCTTTTGTGGATCTTTAAGTTCTCAGAACGCGCGAAGACCTTGCCGCAGCCCGGGAAGGGGCACGGGAAGGGCTTCTCGCCGGTGTGCACGCGGATGTGGTTGACCAGTTTGTATTTGGCTTTGAAGGGCTTGCCCTCGCGCGGACACTCCTCCCAGAAGCAGATGTGGTTGCTCTGCTCCGGGCCGCCGACGTGCTCCACGGTGACGTGCGTGACCAGCTCGTGCATCGTGCTGAAAGTTTTGTTGCACGACTTTTTGGGGTTGGCCAGCTGCTCAGGCTCGATCCACTTGCAGATGAGCTCCTGTTTGATGGGCTGGCGCATGTAGCGGAAGAAGGCGCCGGCGCCGTGGTGAGCGGCCATGTTCACGTTCATGGGCCCGTAGCCGTGCAGCTGCGGCGCGGCATAGTGCTCTGAACGCGGACTGGTCACCTGGCCGTACTGCTCGGGCCGCGGGTACATGTCCCCCGAGAAGCCAAGCCTCATCTGCCCGTTGACCACATTGGGCGATGCATGGCCCGCAGCCTGCTCGTGAAGGCCGGGGAAGAGGAGGTGGCCCGCGGCGTCCGTGTGGCCGTGTGGGCCCCCGAAGCTCCCGGCCGAAGCCGCGAACAGACTGTGTTGCGCGCTGGCTGCAGCCGCCGCGTCGCCAAAGCCCCGGTTGCGGAACAGAAAGTCCCGCGTGGAGTTGAAGGCTGCGCTCGAATAGGAGCCGACGTGGCCCGGGTGGTGGTGATGTCCCAGGGCCGCCGCAGCCGCGTAGCCGGGAGCCTGGGATGTGAAGGCTGTCTGGCCCGCGGAGGCCAGCTCGTGCGAGCTGGGGTTGAGCTTGAAGGCACCCATGCCGTCGGCGAACGGGTTGATGCCCAGGCCCACGTCTCGCTCGGCCACGTCGCCCGCCGAGTGGTGGCGGGACGCGCCAAAAGTGGTCACGCCGATCGCGGGGTACTGGGGGCCGGCGTCCAGGAGCATCGTGGCTGCTCGGGGCGAGCCCCGGCCTCCCCCGCCCCCCCCACCCTCGCCCGCCGAGGAGGGAAAATTAGGAGGAGGAGGAGGTGGTGGTGGAGGAGGAGGAACGGGAGGCGGAGGAAGAGGAGGAAGAAGAAGAGGAGGGAGGAGGAGTCGACCCACCTCGCGAAGTCCTAGCCCGCAGGCAGCGGCGCGGCGCGCCGGGGCGCCCGCCTGGCCAGGCGCAGGGAAGCCGGACGGCTGCGGGCCGCGAGCAACGCGGGCTCCGGCGCCCGCCGACCGGACCCCGCCGGCCCGGCTCTCACTTTCTCGTCGCTCAGTCTCTGCCGAGAGGACCCCGCGTCAAGGCTGCCCGGGGAAAGGCATGGAGCATCTCAGCCCCCCAAAAAAACTTCCTCCTGGATTTGTAGCATAGAGGAATGTGAGCGCCGGAGCCGCGACTGCTCGCTGTCTCTCCGCCTCGCTCCGCACGCCCCTCCTCACTTCTCCACTAGCCCCTCGCCCTTTCTTTTTTCTCTGTCTCTCTCTCTCTCTCCTTTCTATCAGGCTCGCCTCCTCGCTCCTTCACTCTCCTTTTTCCCCCTCTGCTTTTTGCAAAAAAAAAAAAAAAAGGGAGGGGGCGAAAAAAAGAAAGAAAGAAAAAACCAAAGAAAAGGCGCAAATCATGCACAATATTGTCTTTTGCGGTTTATCTTCCTGGGGAGAAACTTTCACCTCCTCAGCCGGGCGGTGAGCGCGAGACTGATAGCAGCAATCATTCCTCCAGATAAATGAATTGAAAGGACGACACCGTCCCCCCCTTGATGAATGGGAGCAGGGGGAGGCGTCACGTGCCGCTGACGCGGGCGCCCATTGGTGCGCCGGCGCTCCCCCCGCCCGCCGCCGCCGCGCCGGCGGAGGGCGCGCCGAGGCGCCGCGCGCCGCTCATTGGCCCGCCCGCCTCATCAATCCCAGGTATTGTAAAGCGCTTGACATCCCCTTTTGACAAACAGGGCTGCCAGGAGTAGCAACTTTTTTTTTTAGGCAAATTTTCCCCTCTTCTCATGGAAAAAAAAAAAATTTGCCACGATTTCTTTTCCTTTTCGCGGTTATATACATTCTCTCTCTTTTTATTCTTACCCCTCTCCCTCTCTCTCTATCTTGTCCTTCTGCAAACCTGCTCTTGGCTGAGCGATTAGCGACTTCGGGCGTCTCCGAGAACAGGAGGCGGGGATGGGGCTGGTAAACACAGCTAAGGCACTTCCAGAATGTCCCGATTCAGCAACTTTCTTTTCTTTCTTTCCCCCTGTCCCCGCCTTGAAGGGAAGCAAAGGAGGCTTTTGTTATTTGGTCCTTTTGAAGTTTGCTTCCCTCTTGCTTCGTCCCCCTCCTGCTTATAATTTAAGATCTCGGGAGCACACAGGCACTCCACACTCTCTTCACAAGAAATGTTATTTCTCAGGATGAGCGGTTGCCTCGATTTCTCTGTTATTAAATCAATCAGGCTTTTGTGCCCTACCCCCTCCCCAGAAAAAACAAAGAAAAAAAAAGCTCAGGTGGATCAGGGATCAGAGCTCTAACTTTCCTGGTTGAAGTTTGTTGTTGTTGTTTTTAAGCAAATTAAAAACATTATTGCCGACTTTTCTTTTTTCCTTTCCTGTGTTATTCTTTTCTTTTCTCCCTTTTCCCTAGTCTCCCGTGTCTGCCCCTCCCGCTAACCCCTTCCTCTGCACTCGTGTTCCCAACCCGGGCCCCTTTCATTCAGGTAAAACTGTAAATTTCCCAACGTGCCATTGTTCTTCAGGATTGCCCAGAGCTCCCTAGAAATCCCCGAATACTTTTTTGGTATTTAAATCTCCGATAGATAGGACCAATGTAAATTTTGTGACATTCAAACCTTTTCTAGTTCACAAATCAGTCACCCTTGTCACAGTTATTGAAATTCCGCAACTCGCCACACCAGGACGGTGGAAAAAGCGGGCGCGGTCTTTGTTGCCGACCAGGCTTTTGATCGCCAGAGAAAATTTACTTACCTTCAGATGAGTGAGCAGAAAAAGAAATAACACTCCCTTTGATTTAGTTAGGAAAATGCAGACATTTGGATTCAGTGCAAACATACAACACTCGCTTGTTTTCGCGATGCGGCCCTCGATTAACCTGTCTTTGCCCAGCGCAAAGTCTATTCAACAACTGCGCGTAGTTGCTTTTTGTCCCGTCCACAAAGAGCCATTGACTATATATTAAAATGATTGTTGAAAGGTAGAGGAGTATGGCACTTAAAAGCAGGGGAAAAAATCCCTGTGACTCAATCAATTAAGGCGAGCAACATTTATGCATTTCAAAAAATGCATGCAGTTACGGGGGGTTGGGGGATGAAGGTTGCATTTCTCCGCAGCTCTGTTTAAAACCCAGCAGCCCGGGCCGAGGATTTAGCAGAAGCGTCTGCATATTCATTAGGTCTAATTATTTTCTAGTAAGGAAAACACAAAAAGCCAAGAGTCGGAATCCTTCAATTTGCCCTTTGTTTCTAACTTCATTTGGCTTCTTTGCAGCTGAATCAGAGCCCTAAACTCTTTTCTCAGACAAAGAGACCTCAACTCATCCTTTCACAGGCGGCCCCGTTAGGAAACTCACCAGTGCCTGGGCGAGAGGAAAATGAAAATGAATATTTTTGCCCAGCCGTCTGCTCATACTGCACTGGCTGGAGGAAGGCAGGGTCAGAGTCGGCCTTTCCTCCTTTCTGGTTTTCTGTCTTTTCACCAACTAGACTCCGGCTTGGGGTTGGCGAGCTGAGCTGCTCTTTTCCTGGGTTCTCCCGCCTCAAAACTGGACTTCTGTTAGTTGGGATGATTTCCTGGTGTCTGAGGGAACCTGGCTGAGCATTTGAGCTTGTTGTGCTGGGAAACAGAAATTTGAGAAAGAAAAAAAACAAAAACAAATGTTCAGTCCCCAGCAACAAGTTTGAGTGCAGCAGCCCCGGAATTCCCTGCCAACTTTGAGTAGAACTGGGATGGGGAATGGAGGCAAAGGGATTGAGGGTGGTTTTTTTTTTTCTTCTTCTTTAACTGCCATACACTTTGTTCAAAAAGAGATATAGCGGAGCCACTCAGAGTCTTTTCTGTTCCCTGTAAGGGGAATTTGGATCCTGCCTCACGGTGGTCATAAAAATCTTATCTGCAAGGTGAAGTTTTCTCTATAGGCTCTGCTGCTTTCACCAGGGAGAACAAATATTGAACCCACCTCGCCTGCCTTTCAAAAAAAAGGAAAAAACAGGGAGGGGAACTGAGGAGGGAAGGGTAGTGCTTGGGAGGGGGGACGAGGGAAAATAATTCTACAAAAAAGAAAGTCAGTCCTCTCCTCTCCAGTCCGTGGAATATCCAAGGGGGACGTTGACAAGAGGGTATTTTTAGGAAACGCGTCCAAATATACAGACTAAGAGTGAATGTGAGAAAAAAAAAAAAAGTTGTGGGTTGTAGAAGTTACCAAGTGGGATTTGCGGCGCTCTCTGCAGGAAACGCAAGCGGCTCCAGTTCAAAGCCACATGCACCAACGTGACACATAAGCCATTAAAATATCATCCTGACGGCTCATTTCTGCTTCATCATACATTCCCTAACTGCTCCCCGAAAGCTGGAAAAGGAGAAATGAAAGATGACCGCCTCGCTGGAACCACAAAAGAGAGGCTTGGAGGGTTCTGTGGTCCCCCCTCAGCCACCCCAAAGTGATGTGCAGAAATGAGGCGATCCCGGCAACAGGTGGAGCGGGGTAAGTGCGTGAGGCCGGGGGGCAAGCTGACCGGACCTGTACCCCCAGCCGCGAGGTAGAACGCACCCAAACCCCTCTGGGGTAAAAGGCCCAGCTAGATGTCTTTCCCCATCCCCCCCCCTTAGCCCCCCAACTGTGGGTATAGGCCCCACCCCACTGACACTGAGGGGAGGAGGGGGCCCTTCCGCGGAGAGGCTACGCTGGGGATGAGTCCATCCCTTCTTCTCAGAGGGGGGTGGGCAAGGGGGATGAATGGGGCTCCCACTGCACTCGGACCAGGAGCAGCTCGTTGCCGCCCGCCTTCCCTCCCCTCTCTGTAAATCGCCCGGGTGCCCCACCTTTGGCACCAGAAGAGGAGTCCTGGCCCTGAGCTTCCCTCACCCCCAGGCCCGCGCAGGAGGGGGTCCCCTGTAGGCAGCTTCTCCGTCATGCCCCCCCACCCCCCACCCAGGACGGCGGGGAAGGACTCGGCTTCCCCTCTCCGGGGCCAAAGGAGCCGACTTAGGCCGGCTGGCTGCAAGATGATGGAGCCTTTCCGCCCCAACCTGCCGGGAGATGCCGGCTGGGTCAGCTGCGGGGCCCGCATCCTCGCCCTGGTGCGGTCTGGTCCTGCCTCGGGACGCTGGCCGCTGGGATCCACTCTCTTCGCCCGGCCGCCCGTGGAATGGGCACTTGGCTTGCTTTCTCCCGGATGCGAACCAGGGCTACGACTAGCTCCCAAGGGAGAAGGCCGCAGCTATCTGGGGTTCTCGGCACTGCCCTAGACATCTAGAGGCCCTAGAAAGTAGGGACAAATGGGGCGGGAACAGAGACTGTGAAAGAAATCTAGCACTGTCCCAAAGGTTTAATAGGAAAGTTTGGAGTTGATGAATAGTCCGTGGGGACAGCTGGGAGCCAGTGAGGTCTTAGGAATGGAGAAGGGGTGTTGGAGGGGCCACAACTTAGCCTGTACTGTCTGCAGGTGAAATCCAAACTCCCTTTGGATTTCAAGGTCATATTTCGACCCCTTTTCCGACAGCAATGGCCTCAGAGCGACCCGCGAAGAGGGACCACGTACCCTTCCACTTTAGCCGCCGGCAGCTTGGAGGCGGGGGGCGATTCAAAGGGACGGTTCAATGTCCAGGCTGGTCCTTTACGGGACCCACTAACGCAGATTCTATTCTGGGCACACGGAGGTCGCCCAGACTTCAGCCCCTAGCTGGAGGAACCCTAGCTTTTCCCTCTAGAGAACAGAAGAATGAGTCAAGGCCGTCGCACAACTCAGCCTCGCAGCCCAACTTCCTGGCGCCTGAGGGCCCGACGGAGGGGAACCCGGGAGGTGCCGGGTGCAGCTGGCGAGCGCAGACCGCGGGCAGAGGCTGGGAGCCGTTTTGCCTTTAGCCGGGACGCTCCTAGGCATCCTGCAGGCACCCCCCCGCCCCGCCCCCCGCTCTGCACCTGCCCCGCTGGCTGAGCTGTGGCCGAGAGGCGGGCATCCCTTTGCCGGCGCGCCTGCGGGGTAATCAGTGTGGAGCAGCGGGGAAGGCTCGGGGACTGAGGTCGCTGGCTTGGGAAGCGGGCTGAAGGCGACCTCTGACCTTAGGCAGGCCGGAGCCTGCTAGGGCGACCCCACAACGTGCAGCCTTGGTGTTCCCCCGCAAAGAAAAATGATGCCTTTTGCCTGTACCTACTGGCCCCACTTTCGTGGCTTTCCCCTGACGCGATGAATTACCGATGCTCATTGGCACCCGGTCCTTGTCTCAAGGGAAGGAAGGCAGAGTCTAGTAAGTTTCCAGGCTGTGCTCCGGCTGGTGATTCAGCGCCCAGGGCTGGGGTGAGAAGACAAGTCAGGAGCAACCATCTGGGGAAAGCCAAGCCGAGAATTTTCAGGGCTTTTAGATCCCTGGGTTAGCAAGAACCTGAGGTCCAGGGGCCCAGGGACAGCCCCTAGATTCTCTTACCCCTCCTCCAGCAAGATGACTGGCTTGCTAAGTGGGGTCAGAGTATGAACCAAAGGAGAAGATATTTACCCAGGGTCCATGCACAGGCCGGTGATGGAGCTGCTACAGGAGCAGCCTAAGGTCGGTCCCAGTTGCCCGCCTGAAGTCCAGCCTCTGCAACATTTGTTTGCATGCCTTTGGGTTTATAATGCACAAAGGACCGCCAGGACTGGGGGTAGAAGTGACCCAAGCCTCTTAAAGGGAGGGCTCAGGCAGCATTGTGGGTGGACAGAGGTCTCTAGGGAAACTCACACCCATTTCCCTCTGAAGCAAAAAAGTAAATTCTATTAGTTCCAACCAACCAGGACTTTTCCTGTGCCAGACATCCTGCCATGAGGAAATTTTAGAGCAAGGACTCCCAGCATGCCGCCCTTCTGTAGGAATGTGAAGTTGGGCTTCCTTTCTTTCCTGATCTGTGCGGAAAGGAGCTTATTACCTTTGGGGACAGATGCCTTTTGGTTAGAAAGAATTGAAAATAAATAAAACACTCTGGGAAAAGGTGAGTCTAACCCCCTACCCCCACCCCTCAGACTTAAACCTAAAAAAGACGGGAGAGGGAAGGGAGAAAACACCTAAGCCAGTTCAAGCCCGGGCTGGGGGTTGAAGGCTAGAGAAAGAGATCTTTGAGCACAGAGAACTGGAAAGCCTTTGAGATAGCAGAGCCCCACTTGGATTTGGCCTGTGGTTCAACAAGTTAAACAACTGCTTGTTCTGTGGGCTGGAGTGTCAAGACAGGCAGACGTCCTCATTGACAAAGAGCTTGCTGTGTTTGTCCAGCCCGAGAACTTTTCAATGACTGTTTGTCTTTCTAGTCCAAATTGAGGGTTGGGGCTGGGTGGATCGCCGGTTTGGCTGTTCCACTGCTTTCAGCCTTGCCTGACAGATGCAGGGATTCCCCAGGATGGGTTTAAGTCTTTAAGATGGCCAAAGACTGGGTAGCTGTACCCACAAAGTGAATCTGATAAGGAATGCGAATATTTTGGGGGTGGGGTGGGTTATTTCTGAGCTTCTTGACTAAGAAATGTGGATAGCCAGGACCAAATGATAGAAAAGATTTCCCCGCAATCTGATGAATTTTACATTAACTTTGAAAAACCAAGCTACGGCTTCCAAATGGGTGAGAAGGTGCAAGCCATATGAGGTTTAGGGATTCCACATCACCTCGGGCATACCAGGAGCTAAGCACCTGCAAAAACTCCCTCTCCCATCAGTTCCAACACTTACAACTCAATTTTTAACCTGCTCACCTCCCAAAGGACACCCAGCCCTCCTTCTCGCTAAACTTAATTAATTAATAAGTTTAAAGAAAATGATGGGGGCTTCTCAGATTTAAAAAATTTCAATTTCTGGCATGAGACATGTTCGAACATTGGCTGATGGAAAGGGTGGGTAACTCTACTTGCGAAGAGACCCACAAATAAGTTACAGATAAAAATCTAGTTGGAAAATGATGTTTTTTAATATTTTTCATCACCCAGGATATATTGTTTTGCTGTAAAGAGGGATAGTTCTCAGCAGAATTCTTTCACTTGCAAATTTGAAAATAGTCAAAGAAACACTGAAAAGCTCTTCAGACCAGCACTTTCTTTCACTCATACATTCAGTCCATACAGTCTTGCCGTACAAACATGTTAGGAAATCATTTAACTAGTAACTGTCTTTTCTTCCCAAACAGGCTCAAAGTCAGAAAATGAGATCCAAGACTTCTTTGGTGATGAGGAAACGAATACGGCTCTACCGAAACGCCCTGAAAGAGTCAAGTAAGTTAGTATCCTCATTTGAATATTGGTCTGCTGAAGTTATTTTTTAAGTAGGAAGTAAGTTACTTTTGTATGTTTGTTGTTGTTGTTGTTGATTTTTTGTTATGTTGGTTGTGAGTTTGGGGTGTTTCTTGAATTCCAGTGAAACTTAAAACAACACCTTAGTGTTTGATGCATTTGCATACAAATCAACAACACAACTTCTCACCAGCAACCAGCTAATCCCCCTCAATGTCTACTCATCTGGACGTTCTAGAATTAATATTTGACGACTCTCTCATTGAAACAACAACCCCTGACCTTCTGCAGTTCCACTGTCACATTATTCTATGACATATTCATCTTGAATTCATTTCCGGACGATTTGATTGGAATGAGGTTTGACATGTATTGGCTTCCATGAAAGGAGCAGACTTTGATCTTGGTGATGGGGTTTACATGATATGCATCATCTTTACCAGGGACACCAGCCTTCTGCAATGTGGCAGCCACGATGTTCCCACAATGTGGTGTCTGAACGGGAAGTGACTGACAGCCGCTCTGTCAGGAATACCTTCATTGTGAAGAATTTAATTTAATATTCCATTTAGAATAAGCATATGATTTAGGGCTGAGAGTTCCCCTTCTCAGGCATCTAGACCGCCTCATTCCAACTACACCACCAGCTGATGGTTGCCTCCAATACCAACAACTGCCTTGTTGATAGGAAAAGCAACCTTCTTAACAAAAGCTAAATGGACAACTTATGAAATGACTCTCTTCTATTATTTTGGGAGGATTTGATGGCAGAATTCTCTAGGGAAATGTGGTTATTATGTAAATTCTGTTGTTTTAATTCCTCAGTGCTGTTCTGGAAGATCCTTTAACCATGTTTACTAATCATTTGTCAAAAGGCGGTTTGTTTGGAAATTAAATTTTATCCAAGCATATTTTCTTTCATACGTACTTCCACTAATGATAATTAAATCCCAAACTTACATAGCAGAGGGGAGGAGTATCTTCCTTTATCTTCAAAATCCTGATAGATCTCACCTCCTCTTATAATGTGGTCATGGACCCATAGAAGGCTTCAGGGGCTTAAGGTATTTTTTTTCCCCCTTAAGACTAGAGACAGCTTCTCACTCTAGGAATCTTGAATTCTGCCTACAAATAGCCTATGAAAGGATTTGCCCCCCCCCCCGCTTTGGGTGTAACCCTAGCTAGAAAGAGAGAAGAAAAGATTAAACCAGTGACTTTGCAGACCCAGATGCAGACTATTCAGCCAACAAGGTTAGTGCTTGGCCAGGCTCTGAGCAGTGGCCCTCAGTTTTTGGGATCCTGGCTCTCAGCATAACCTGCAAGAAATCATCACTTAGCACTGGTGAAAAGATCGAAATAGAAAAAATAGCCCAGCTATTGACTGTATGTCTCTCTCTTTTTTTTTTTTTCTCTCCAAGGAAGAGAAATTAGACCTTTGCTCACTTAAGCCAGTGATGTGAGTTGCTATGGCAGATGGTAGGGTCACCAAATATGTTTCTATCCAGCAGGACTAGAAAATCACTTTAATTTATGATGTTGCTTTATCATGGCTGGAGTAAACCACACTTAGGGCATGATTCAGAGGTCTGGAGGGATGTTTGGAGTCTGGTGGTAGAACTTACTCCAAACAGGCTCCTCTGAAAACCAGCAGTGCTTCTTGAAACTCTGCTGAAGATCTCTGAGCTGCAGAATGTATCTTTTCTTTCTGTATATCAAGCAGAAATGTGGACTCAACAATGCTATACTGCCCAGCATGGTTAGAAAGTAGACTGCTCCAGTCAAGCATTTGGTATTTGGGGTAAGTGTGGAGAGATAACTTTCTGAAAGAGAAATTCTGAGCATTACTGAGGGACAGCACCACTCAACCTGCCCAGTCAACAGTCAATGGAACCTGGAATCCTTGCTTCCTGGGTTCTGAAAGACTCAGGGGAAGAGCCTTGAAAACTAAAATATGCCTCCCTGATTTCGGTGCCCTACCTGTCATCTGTGACCAGCTGGATGCTGCTTTGGGGTTTATTTTAGAGAATCACCTTGAAGACCCTTATGTTATCAACCCAAAGGTCCCTCTTTATAAATAATAGTGAGTAAAATGTTTTTTCCCTCCCTATATCTGTCCCTGGGGAAATGTCCCTCTGGGAGAATGCATGGTCCCATTCTGTGTTTAGCCAACCAAAGTGTGAACCACGTGGCTCCAAGGCACTTGCAAAGATTAAGCAACCTTAGTGACCTTAGGCCAACTGACCCCTGACTTCTCAAGAAGCATCTACCCAGGATGCATCCAGATGTTTTCAGTGCTTCAGGAGAAGACTGCATCTGGGAAAGAGCTCCATGGGGCCGGGTTACTGTCCATGAATTTGGCTGAATCAGATGCATCTGCCTTTTCACTGTTGGCACAAAAAGTCACACACATGTTCAAAGCTTTTCACTGGTAAAATTATCAAGAAACACTGTGGTGTAGTAACAGTTTCTGTATGTAAAACCTCTACTTCTTATCTCTGGCTTCTGTGGAGGTGCTTCGAATTCCAGGGGTGGGGGTGTCCACAAACTCAGATGGTTAAAAAAAAAAAAGCATCTTTATTTTCACCACCTTCTAATGGAATGTTATATGCTGAGTGTGGACAACAAACAGAGGATTATTAATGTTCACCAGGCTTGCCAGGGTTCCAGGAGAGTCCACAACCAAAGACCAACTTGAATACTCCTGTTCTGTGCTGTTATTCAAAGCTTTTGACACAGATGGGGTCACAGCGTGTATGTATACTGAGTGGTTCCTCTTGGTGCAAATCAGTTTTAGTGGAAAACAAAGTAGATGGTTAGTTAGACAAACAACCCGAACGTTAGGTTGTAGATCACCTACTTTTGATTGGGAAAGAAAATATTCTAAGTGAAATAAAATAATTTAATTGCTGGACTACTGCCCCTACACTGAATGAGGCCTGAATGCTACAGGAGGATCTAAGTTCTATGTTGATAAATGGTTAGGAGAAAGAGCCTTTGGGCCAGAGGTCCCATAAAGGAAGACATTGGTTTTGTTTTTGGATTATGTGTTTTCAGAACCCGTCATGGGTTCATGGGTTCGCCTAGACCACTGTACCATTCAAAAGACACCTTCTCCATGGGACGCCTTGAAACCAGCGCTTTGTGGAAGGGAAAATGGGGGGCGGGCAGATGGAAAGGAGGCACCTGTGGGCAGAGGGGATAAAATCCAGCAAGGGAGAGTGTGCAAGAGGGTGAAAGCCCAGGAAAGGAGATGAATTCTTGAAGGCCAGTCTCAGCACCACTGGGTGGAAGCCCTTGGTTTCAGAGCAGAAGGGGTCCGGCTGTCAAACGCTCTCCTTCAGCTGCTTCTTTTTTTAATGCTAACGCAGCATCTATTGGTAGCTTGCTTAAGCTCTTCCGGCCGGAGGAGCAGAAAGACCCGGACTTGTCAAAGCCGAGGGAAATCGTTGTAGAAGTTAATCCCTCACTAAATTGCGGCCCTGAGCAAGGAACAATGCATTAAATGAAGAAAGTCTCAAAGACTCTGCCAACCATTATACATAAGTTAATTATTTTAAAAAATTTAAAAGAAATGCTTATTGACTGACCAGGAAATGTTTAAGAATAGTCCTTGGTGCTGGGGGTGGCTGAGGCAACTCAGTCAACTCCATCAGGGTTCCCTGTAACCTGTCCAAACGCCTCACCCCCTGCTAGGGGAGCCGGGTCTTTTACCCAATCCTTAAAACTTCTCTTAAGTCTTTCACTGCTTTGAGGGCGCTTTCTGTGGCCGCCGGGGAGGCCGGAGACAACTTAGGTTGGCATTTTCGGCTCCTGACTGCAAGGCAGGCTTGAAGACTAGCAGCCCTTTAAAACGCCGGGTGCTGCAGCCGGCCCCAGCCGGTCTGCTCAAACAAAGAACCGCTCCCCCCCCCCACCCCGCCCCCGTTGAGGCCACACTTGGCTGGGCCAGGACTGAAGGCTTCTTCCACCGGCCGACCCTCCACCCCAAGACAGCGGAACCCGCAGCCCGGGAGGGCGTCCGGGGAGAGGAGGCGGCGGCTGGCCGTGGCTCTCACAGCCCGGCCGGTCAACGTGGCCTCGGCTCTAGGCAAGCTAGCAGAGGACAGGCTCCGGCCGCAGGCAACAAGTGCCCGAGGGCGCTCAGGGTGGAAGCGATTCCCGAGACTCGTTTCCCAGGGGCAGGACCGCAGACGGACCGAGGGAAGAGACCTGGGGTCGAGGAGCCGCCCTCCTCGCTGCGCGCCCCTCGCCTTTGTCTCTGTGGCCCATCGACCTGCGGCTCGCTGTGATTCGAGGCCGGGAGGAAGGATCCCTGGGCCCTCTCCCGGGGGCGGCGTGGATTCAAAACCAGCTTCTCCTAGATCATCGCCGTCTCTGGACCATTCCTGGGGCTCGGTTCCGGGCCCGATTCTAGAGTCCGCCCGTCTCTGAGTGTTCCAGGCACCCGGGAAGAGGGGCCGACAAGGCTAAACGGGGAAAATGTGGAGTGGAGGGAAAAGAGAGGAGGAGCGGAGGAGAAAGGCTCTAAGTAGGAAGGCGAAGTGTGTTCAGAGGGCTCGTGGAACTGAGAGCGAGAGCTGGAGAAAGAGCGAGAGCGTGAAAGCTGAGCGACACAAGCTAATTCGGAGAAAGCGAGAAAACAAAATTAGGGGCAAGGGCTGCTAGCCCGGGAGCTCCCCTGCTCTCGGCCTCCTAATCTGCAGCCGCCTTTCCTCCCCGGATCCCCGGCCCTCGCCTCCCGACACCTGGGACCAGCTGCCGAAGCAGGCAGCCGTCCCCGCGCGCCCACGGCGGCCGGGCTGGGGGCTCCGGGCCGCCCGGAGGACATGACGCACATCGCAACGGCCCCTCCCCGAAGTCGTGGTGACTGGAGGCAAAACCCAGCCTCGCTCGCTTCCGAGAGCGCGGAGGCCGAGCCGATCTGCCTGGCTGTCGGGAGCGAAGCGGAGGGGGCTCCAGAGCAGAGAAAGGAATCCGCGCCCGGGTCAAGGCGCATGTGCAGTAGGAGCGCGAGGTGGGGGCGGGGCGGGGAGCCGCGCAGCTGTGCCTCCGAGCGTGTGTGTCTGTGTGTGTCCCCCGAGCAGAGACCTGTCATCGCTGACGTCGGGCCGGGCCGCGGGCCAATGGGCGACCCAGGCGATTGTTCCTCTCGGCGGGCCCGGGCCGCGGCCCGAATCTCTATTCACTTCCTCACGCGCCCCGCTGCTGCCTCTGCAGTGTAAGGGATTTCAAGTAGACATTAAAGACCGAGAGAGAGAGGAAGAAAAAAAAGTCACAACCCAAAACTCGGGGGGGGGGGGGGGGGAGAACTTCGCAGAAGTTGTTTGTGATTGTTCTCTCCCCTCCGCGCTTTTAGGTGACGGTGGCCTGAGTGCCCCGACCCAAGGAGCTCCAGGGAGCCCCGGCCGGGATGCAGCAAGCCTCCTTCTCTCAGCCGATCTGGGCGCTGAAATTCGTATATGTGGCCGGGGCGCTCGGGCACCACCGCCGCCTACAACATCGCCACTTCCCCCACCTCCACCGCCCCCCCACCCTGGGGAGCTGGCCGCCAAAGCGCACTCGGAGCGGCCGGTCGGACCCCTTTGGAGCAGAGCCCGCCCCCCCCCCCCCC